GGGGGGGGGGGGAGATAATTTTTTTTGGTAGTTTTAAGTTAAAAATTGGAAGGAAAAAAAATGACCATGAAAGTGGAAGGGTTAAAACAACCCTGACACCAAATTCAGTTCCTATAAAACCGTTCCTGCCACCCAAACCACCACGCACCACTCCACTGCAGAGAAACCCCCAGCTAAAGTTGATCTCCTAGTTCTCCACAGTGCTAAGTAGCTTCTACCCCTACGTCACTACACTACACAGTGGGTGACATAGAGGTCAGCAGGAGGAACCACTGAGTGAGTGCAGCAGCAGAACAAGAGATCAACACTCTAGATGGTGCCGGTTTTGAAGGAAAACTTCAGACCGTTATTTCTCTTCAGCAGAATGGCTTTTAGCAGCATGGACACCAAGAGAGGCATATATTCACTTTCCTTTTTACAGGCACATGTTTTATGGGCACTTTCAGTTTGGTGACATGGTTGCTTTAGAGACCCTACAGACAAGAAATTAGTCTTTCTTACCGCTCCATGTACTCTTTGTTGGGCTTCTTATTGCAGCCAATACAGTGGCTTGCAAAAGTATTCACCCCCTTGGCATTTTTCCTATTTTGTCGCATTACCACCTGGAATTAAAATTGATTTTTATTTGGATTGTGATGAACATACACAAAATAGTTCAAAATGGTGAAGTGAAATCAAGAAAATAAAAAAAAACATGGAAAAGTGGTGCATGCACAGGGCTTGGACGCTCGGCCGTTGTAATTAAACGGCTGGCCAGGAGCTTTACATTCAAGTGATCGGGCATCTCTAGATGCCTGATCAGTATTCAGTGCGGTTTCCACCCCCGCAGCCGCTGCTGTCACTGCAGTTGTCTGTCCGGAGATCCGATGTGTCCAGTGGGACCGGGACCGGCACGACTACTCTGTGACAGTAGATCAAAGGGAGATCGGTAAACTCTGATCTCCTCTCCATCCCTGAATGCAGGAAATGATGTATATTATTTATTATATTTCTTGTCAAGGCTCACTCCACCAGGGCAGTGAGTGCTTCTTGGTCCTTTCACCATCAGGCTCTCTATTTCAATTTTTTAAGGCTGTGACTTGCGCCTCAGCCCACACAAACTTTTACAAGATGGATGTGTCATCATCAGAGTATTCTAGTTTTGTTTGCAAGGTGTTGCAAGCAGCTATGTATGCTCCCAGTTTTTTGTTGGGCTGTGATTTGCCTGTTGGGGGTTCCCTGCCCTTCTGTTTCTGAACTTCTTGGAGATGTCTTGCAGTTCATATTATGAAAATTAATATAAAACATTGTTTTCCTATATATGGGCAATAAAGAAAATGGGAACATTGAACTGACGGTAAAAAATCTTTTTTTTTTCCTCCCTGAAGGACACAGCTTCTATTCTGACTATTGCCTTTGTGTATTTTCTTACTGCTTTGCTTTCCCAAACCTTTTTGTTGGGGGGGGGGGGGGGGAGATAATTTTTTTTGGTAGTTTTAAGTTAAAAATTGGAAGGAAAAAAAATGACCATGAAAGTGGAAGGGTTAAAACAACCCTGACACCAAATTCAGTTCCTATAAAACCGTTCCTGCCACCCAAACCACCACGCACCACTCCACTGCAGAGAAACCCCCAGCTAAAGTTGATCTCCTAGTTCTCCACAGTGCTAAGTAGCTTCTACCCCTACGTCACTACACTACACAGTGGGTGACATAGAGGTCAGCAGGAGGAACCACTGAGTGAGTGCAGCAGCAGAACAAGAGATCAACACTCTAGATGGTGCCGGTTTTGAAGGAAAACTTCAGACCGTTATTTCTCTTCAGCAGAATGGCTTTTAGCAGCATGGACACCAAGAGAGGCATATATTCACTTTCCTTTTTACAGGCACATGTTTTATGGGCACTTTCAGTTTGGTGACATGGTTGCTTTAGAGACCCTACAGACAAGAAATTAGTCTTTCTTACCGCTCCATGTACTCTTTGTTGGGCTTCTTATTGCAGCCAGTACAGTGGCTTGCAAAAGTATTCACCCCCTTGGCATTTTTCCTATTTTGTCGCATTACCACCTGGAATTAAAATTGATTTTTATTTGGATTGTGATGAACATACACAAAATAGTTCAAAATGGTGAAGTGAAATCAAGAAAATAAAAAAAAACATGGAAAAGTGGTGCATGCACAGGGCTTGGACGCTCGGCCGTTGTAATTAAACGGCTGGCCAGGAGCTTTACATTCAAGTGATCGGGCATCTCTAGATGCCTGATCAGTATTCAGTGCGGTTTCCACCCCCGCAGCCGCTGCTGTCACTGCAGTTGTCTGTCCGGAGATCCGATGTGTCCAGTGGGACCGGGACCGGCACGACTACTCTGTGACAGTAGATCAAAGGGAGATCGGTAAACTCTGATCTCCTCTCCATCCCTGAATGCAGGAAATGATGTATATTATTTATTATATTTCTTGTCAAGGCTCACTCCACCAGGGCAGTGAGTGCTTCTTGGTCCTTTCACCATCAGGCTCTCTATTTCAATTTTTTAAGGCTGTGACTTGCGCCTCAGCCCACACAAACTTTTACAAGATGGATGTGTCATCATCAGAGTATTCTAGTTTTGTTTGCAAGGTGTTGCAAGCAGCTATGTATGCTCCCAGTTTTTTGTTGGGCTGTGATTTGCCTGTTGGGGGTTCCCTGCCCTTCTGTTTCTGAACTTCTTGGAGATGTCTTGCAGTTCATATTATGAAAATTAATATAAAACATTGTTTTCCTATATATGGGCAATAAAGAAAATGGGAACATTGAACTGACGGTAAAAAATCTTTTTTTTTTCCTCCCTGAAGGACACAGCTTCTATTCTGACTATTGCCTTTGTGTATTTTCTTACTGCTTTGCTTCAACTGAGTAGGATGACTAAATTAATGCGTTATGGCCCCTAGAGGCTGGCCTTCAGTTATTCTGTCAAATCCTCTGGCAGGTGGCAGTATAACCAACAGTACATACATATAAAAGGCTGTTTGCCTCAATGAACTTTGGATTTACAGTAACTAAAAAAAATCCAATTTCTTTATGTGGGCAAGACTGGAAACCTCTAACAATGGTTTTTATTGCTGACTTCCTGGGCCAGTGGCAACTGCTTTCCCCTGCTTACACCTTCATGTTAATAGTTTTGTTTGCATTAATAGTAGGGCTGGGGAAATTAACGATTAATCCCTCGATTATTCTTTTGATCGAAAATGAAAAGTGATTAAAAAAAATTTCGATTAATCGAACACAAAAATTTTAATCATTACCAGCCCTAATTAATAGTATTTAATGTTTTCTTTTTCTTTTTTCAGATGGAGGTCAAAGTAAAGGGGAGTCAAAATTGCTGCGAAAAAACCCATGACATGTGACTGAATAAAAAAGGCATTTGATTTAGGTTTTATTTTTCTGAATGGCTATCAGAAAATACTTTTTTGGCAGAATGAGCTGCCATTTGCTATGTTTACATTACTCTGATCCCAAGCACTGTGGAAAGCAGAATGAATACTTGATCGAAGCAAAAGAAAGATGGCATTAAGTTGGTGCTAAAAAATAACAAAGGATTTGTTTTAAGGCAATTGATGGAAGAGGATGATTCTTTCTGTAACATGAAATCACTGGGCTAGATGACTTTTTATATTTATTTTTGTTGCTGATACCACAAAGAACACAAACATGAAATGGATACATTTGCATTCCATTCTATTTTACTGAGTATTACAGAACAAGGCTGTTGGCAATTAACCAATAAAATGCAGACATTCTCTCTCTCCTAATCCTGGCTGCAGATTATCTATTGAAATAAGTAATGTTCAATTTCAATGAAAAATTCCCATTATAGATTTTTTTACACTTGGGTCCTTTTATATAAATTACATAAAGTTGCTTTTTAACTCTAGAACACTGTGTGAATTTTAAGTCTCTTACCATTGTTGGCATGCTGTCTTTAGGAAAACGTTGCTCAATATGAGGCAAATAAAAAAAAAAATTTGATGTCTATTTAAGTGGTAGCTGGGCTGCATTAGGACAAGTGAGTAGTTTATATATGCTGGTTGCTAATCTTCAAAATTAAATTTGTGTATAAAATACAGTATACAAAGAAAAGTACTACATTACATCCCTTGTTCTATATCTTCAATACTTGAAAATATTTTCCATTTGTTACAATACGTTTTCCTGCAGTAATGTTATATTGCTACCACACCCCTTCTTGGAAAAAGGTGAACGTTTTGAAGGAAAACCTTGAAAGCAACATTTCAATGCAAAAAAAATGAATTACTTCTAATTAAAGTGCAATGTGGCTTTTAGGGGCTGTTATAACATTTGCATGTTGCTTGTTTTATGCTAAAGTATTCATTCTACAAAGTTTTTGTTTGTTCTGACTTTGAATGCTTCCTACCATTAGACACATCTTTGTTTTGCCAGTCTAAAAAGGAGTTAAAGAACTACTCCAGTTAAAAAATGTTCCTTGCATTGCGGCTACCCCCGTACTGCAAGGGTTAAAGCGGACATTTACACTGCAATATGGAATATCTAAAAAAACAATTCCCAAAAGCATTAATAAACAACAAATTAAATATATTTATTTTCTTTTATAAATGCCTTTTTTTAATGTTTAAATTTTGGTGCTGCAATGTAGCGGGCGGCCATGTTTGATTAGGGAAATGCTGCTCTTTCCGTGCCGCCTTCTTGAGTCAGCAAGGGTAAATCCCGCGCAGCTTCATTATGTACCACACCTTCTGACAATGAAAGAGATCTCTTTTCAATGACAAGGCATTGCATTGGCAAACTGAAGATATTTTTCCATTTTGAAGCAGGAAGTGAATGCTCTGCAAGTGTAAGTATTTCAAAATTACAGCATTTTACACCTGACATATCTGTTATTATTAGTCATCACACCTAGAGGGATGCATTGGTAGAATTAGAATTTTGAATGTAAAGGTCCGCTTTAAGTGCTCATTTTTGCCTAGGTTCAAAAATAGTTGCCCAATTCCGGCTTCCTCATCGCTCCCTCCTGGCTGTTTCCTCCTCCACTGCAGTGATGGTATGTCCCTCAGAATCCTCACATCCTATACACTGTATATAGAACGTGATGACTCAGGACCTTAAACTGCTGCAGCAGAAGGGGAGAGAGACTCCAGGGACTGGTCTAACAGTAAGCCTGCTTGGAGGATTTGGTGAGTATAACTTATTTTTTAACCTAGACAAAAACTAGCACTTAACCCTTGTAGTGTGTGGGTAGCCCCACTGCAAGAGTTAAGAAAATGTTTACCCGAATTTTTTCTTAAAAAAACTTTTTTAAACATTTAAATAGGCCCTGTCAGCTAACTGAACATAATATTTTATAAATATAATAATGCTTTGTTTGTACATCCTATTGCCTCCTCTGGACAAATATATAATTTATTGCAGAGTTAGAGGCAGTAGACAAAAAGATCAGCGCACTGAGACTGATCTGGAGCAGTTCTCTGAACATATCCTCAGCTTTCATTTTTACATATCCTGAAGCTGTGCACGAGAGCAGCACTTGATCACAGCCTAAACACTTTTCCTGTTCATATGATAAGGCATTTTAAGGAGCATGTATAAATACTATTTATAAATAAAAATGTTTGATTTGTTGACAGGGTCTCTTTTAATATACCATTCAACTTTGTAAATATGACTCATTACCTTTATTCCTTTCCTTAGACTTCCTGTGTAAACATTATTTTGTTTACATTTATCTTGTATGCAGCCTACAAGGAGTGAGAACAAGGAAGGCATCTGCTAAACATACCTGTCTTATTTAATGTTTTGATTTCCATGATCTGTATCATTTTCTGTATACATTTAGTTTGGCCACAGCCTGAGCTGTAGCTGCAAGAAGTAAACATTAACAGGTTATACACAGTCTTGTGAAATAAGTACACCGTCTTTGAATTCTATGGTTTCAAGTACCAGGACATAATTAAAATCATCTGGTCCTTAGCAAGGGTTAAATTAGGTTAATAGAACCTCAGATGAACAAAAACATATGACATATTACACAGTGTTGTTATTTATTTCACAAACAAAACCAAAATGGAGAAGCCATGTGTGAAAAACAAGTACACCCTATGATTTAATAGGTTGTAGAACCTCCTATAACAGCAATAACTTGAAGTAATCATTTTCTGTTTGACTTTATCAGTCTCCCACATCATTGTGGATGAATTGTGGCCCACTCTTCTTTACAACATTGCTTCAGTTCATTGAGGTTTGCGGGCATTTGTTTATGCATAGCTCTCTTAAGGTCCCACCACAGCATTTAAATTGGGTTGAGGTCTGGAGTTTGACTGGGCCATTGCAACTGTGTGATATTTTTTTTTTTCAGCCATTCTGTTGTAGATTTGCTGGTGTGCGTGGGATTATTGTCCTGTTGCATGGCCCAATTTCAGACAACCTTTAACTGTCCGACAGATGGCCTCACATTTGACTCTAGAATACTTTGGTATATCATGGTCGACTTAATGACTGCATGGTGCTCGGGTCATGTGGCTGCAAAACAAGCCCCAATCATCTCCCCTTCACCACCGTGCTTGACAGTTGGTTTGGAGTGTTTGTGCTGATGTGTTTGTTTTTTGACAAATGTGGCACTCTGCATTAGTGGCCAATTATTATTTTTTTGCAATTTCTTTCAGTGTTGCACAGTCTGACCTTGGGGTGAATTTGCTGGGACGTCCACTTCTGGGAAGATTTAGCAACTGGTAAATAATATTCCTCACTGTAGAATGATAGACTTTTAATTTTTTGGAAATTGCCTTATAAGCCCTCCCAGATTGATGGGCAGCAGAAATTGCTTCTCTAAGATCATTGCTGATGTCTTGCCTCCTTGGCATTGAGTTAGCACACACCTGAATGCTCCAGATCAGCAACTGCTAAAACGTCAGCTTTTTTTTGTGGCCACACAGTAAGGGTGTACTTCGTTTTTCACACATAACTTCTCCATTTTGACTTTGTAAAATAAAATAATGACACGGTGTAATATCTGATGTGGTGTTGTTCATCTGAGGTTGTATTTACCTAATTTTAAGACCTGCTAAGGGCCACATGATTTTTATTATGTCCTGATACTTAAAACCGTAGAATCCAATGAGGGTGTACTTTTTCACATGACTGTACTTCATATATCTGTGTGATTCTATATCTTCATTGACAGGAGCCATACATTGTTTCTATGCTGCAGTGCTCAGTACATTTATTATTACAGTAATACCTTGGTTTACGAGCATAATTCGTTCCGGCAGCATGCTTGTAATCCAAAGTGCTTGTATATCAAAGCGGATTTCCCCATAGGAAATAATGGAAATTCAGATGATTCGTTCCACAACCCAAAAATATTCATATAAAATGATTACAATACTGTACTGTAATATAATACTGTACAAAATATAAATAAAAATAAACCAATTACAGTTACCTTTGTGGCCGGTGTGAGGGGGACAAGAGAGAGGAGGATTATTGTGTAGGACAACTTTCACTATCACTAACGGAATCACTGCTATCTCTTGACTCAATGGAATCTTTTTCATTTCGTGAAACCTTAACAAGGAATCTATCCAATATGACGTTGCATTGTTGTTAAACAGACTCATCGCTCGCACTGCTACAAGCTTTATTCAGGTGGCGCTTTTCTACAAAATTTTGCTCTTATTGCAAGACATTTGCTTGTATATCAAGGCAACATTTTTCATAAATGTTTGCTTGTCTTGCAAAACGCTCTCAAACCAAGTTACTTGTAAACCAAGGTATTACTGTAGTTTAGAAAGTTTTTCTTCCAGACCAGGATGTATCAGGGAATCCCTCCTAGATATTTGCAATCTTGAATCACGTAATGAACAGGATTTGGCTGAACATATGAAGGGGCTGTCTGCTTCATGTAGTTTATCTCCAGTGATTGGATGCCGTTATTACAGCTTTGAATAAATGTCTCCATTTTCAAGAGCGATAAATGATCATTTCTGACAGGTGTTTTCAACAAACACTTTCCTGTTCCTACTTGTATTATATAAGCAAACCTGCACCACAGAACATGCCAGACAAGGAATGAACCGCTACACCAGTTTTAGGCACAAAAAACTTTGCTTCCTAATATATACTGTCTGCACCACTATAATTGATACTCAATCCCATAGAAGCATACAAAAATGCTTTATTTACAGCTCAGAGAGACAATATAGAGGAATGCACATGTGCAAAGAAATTACAAAAAGTGCACATACAAGAAAACATTTTATAAAAACATGCCCTTAGAACCACATGGACACATAATGAAACACATGGACACAATGAAAAGTTGTTGCATTCCCTACACCTGCAGTAGTATAAAATGGACCACAGGCATAAGGAATACAACAACTTTTCATGTCCATGTGCTTCTAAGGGTTTTACCAAGTGTCGTGTTTCATTTGTTGATATATGGCCTGGGTCATCATTTATAGTGGTGCAGATGGTATATAAAAAAGGAAAGTGTTGTGCTTAAAACTGTTCTTATTCCTTGTTTGCAGTTACAGTGCAGGCTACAGAAAAGCAGATTGTTATCAGGGCTATGGATGCACTCAAAGTAAAGGTATAGGTAATTGTTTTTATTTGTAAAGCTACTTTATATCCCTCGATGTTTAGAAACAAGTTAATGTGTTTTAAAATTGCAGTTATCTGTTAAAAGCAAATGTTTTGTAAGTAGCTTTTGCATAACTTAAGCTTGCCTTATACTACAGTACAAACAATTTTTTTCTTTCGAGAAAGTCTGATGAGGG